GTCCAGATATTAATGCATTTAAGTTTTAATTGACATTTGCAGCCCTGTGCAACTTTTAAGTTGGTATCTTCCAGTTTACCTTGAAATTATAGAATTGGTTGGCAGGTCAGGGAAAACCTTGAAATCGGCTTTGGTACCAGGGCTGTCTGTTTTGGGAACACACATTTGAAACATTATATTCTTCTGTCACACTTTTGAGAGATGCAAAATAGAGTAAAAATGAACAAATTTCTCCAACAAACTCTACAGAAACTCTTCCTCAGAGAGGAAGGCTTCTCTCATACTCCACATGTACTGTTTCAAATCCCGAGTACGATGAGGCCGATCACTGTGTGGTGATCCCAGCAGTGCTGTGTCCTAGTCCCTAACCAAGGACTGGGACATGGTTCTAGGAACTGAATGCAGCCTGTCTCATATTTATCTAAAACACTTACCTAGTTTCATAGAAATGGTTGGTGTTTTTTTTAAGAAGTGTCCGTGATGGGCCTGGTGCTTTCTAAATGGGATTGATTTTACTTGCATATTGCTCAAAGATGAAACTATATTTGGAGGTTAGGGAAGAAGACTAATGCTAGGGAGATGAAATGCAGTTTGTACCTTCCTTGATTTTTAAGTCAAGTTCTTCATGACAAATCTGAGTGTTTAACAATGATTAAATTGTACGTTAGGTAGGTGCATTGCAGAGGTAGGTGCTCAGAAAAGTCATCTGAAAATAGCTGTGATTTCTGCAGCTAAAGCTGCTCTCTTTATTTTTCTTTCTTTACTTTGTCTGCTGTTGTCTCTTGAGTTTTAAACTGTGTTTTGAAAACTGTGGAGCAGGAACACCTGTCTTATCTAACTTCAGGATTTTGATCAATGAGTGGATTTATATAATCCAAACATGGCTTCAGAGTGCTGTTGTATTAAAAGAAATGCTTATATGTGGACATTCATCATATATTTTACGGCTTATGTATTTAACCATATGGTGGTACATTGTTTGGGGGGGATGGTTATTGTTGCTTATTATCCCATGGAAAATGGCCTTATATTTGCTGCCTGCTTTATATTTGCAAGAATTAGAAACTGTACAGTGACGGGGAGCTAGGAGCTGCTGTCTGACAAAGAAGCATGATACTGTAGATTTGGCATATCAGCAGTAACTGGCAATGTACAGTCCGTTCTAGGAGCCTCTTAAGCCATGTCAAGCTTTATGGATACTGTCAACCTAAATAACACAGCACCATTGATGTGCATCTGTTCCGTTTGAATTGGTTTCCAAATTTTCTTGCTGTTGATAAATATTTGACATGGTTTCAATGATACATTAAAACTGAATCTGGCCCATGAGTGGAAATATTAAAAAAAAAAAAAAAAAGACACCTCTGTAAAGTTATTTTAGGACCTGGTTGTGTTCCACAGAAGTTGGTCTGTGTGTGGAATTAGTTTGATTGGCAAAAAAAGAAGCAGGCATGATCGTTGAAACCAAATCAAGTAACAGTTGGCTTTCTTAGTAAAACTCATCTGATGCCTTGTCAGAACTGGACAAAATAAACCAAGTTTTCTTTTCCTTCTCTTGCTTGCACAGAAGCACAATTGCGTTAACATCTCACATGCAGCTAAAATGAAGCAGTGACTTTCAGTTAATGATAGACATGCTTTCTGGAGATCTCTGAAGGCTGTCAGGGCAGCTCTTTTTTTAATCAATAAATCTTCTTCACATCAAAACCAAAAAAAAGAGATGTCATAGTCTCTAAACTAGATTTCTTTTAACAAAAATGGAAAGCAAGTCAGGAGACTATTTTGCAAGATTTTGGGTAGCTCTAGTGATGGCTATATTCCTGACCTTACACAGATTTTTCTGGATCAGTAAGTCAGTATTACTGTCTTTTAGATTAAAAATTGCACTACTTAAGCAGTAGCACATTAGAAGTTTTTGTTACGTTTTTACGTGAGACTTTTACAGGATTCTTTAATTCATGTATATATCATAAAAATGTTTAATAAAATCAAATTACTGTATACTCAAGGTGTTTTCTTGCAAACACATGCATGAGGAAAATTCATGTATAACAAAGAGAAAATCCCACATGAATTTTAAAGAGGAACACTTCCAATTAAAGTGGACTCTGATACTAGAGACATGATATATGAGAAATTGCTTCCTTCCTATGACTTAAACTGAATTCACATTTATTTTCTATGGAAAGACTCCTCTAAGTAGAACACTGAGTCTAACACTTTGTCTTTCACAATCCATTGTACACGTAAATGTGGATGAAGAGTATTTGTTGCATTCCGCACTGTGTTGGCTTGCTTTTGTGTATTCCTAATTCTTGTGGTAACTGAGGACAGAGCGGCGTTGCGTGGTGACAGATGGGTGTTTGATGTGGGTAAGGTGGCCATGAAATTTAGCTCAGGCCGTTTTGTCATAGTTAGAGGCAGCATCAGCGTTGTCCAACTGCATTTCCTTTGCCTCTTGCTGTACTTGCCTGCTGCTGGCCAGGTGTTTGGATGGAGACAGAGGGCTGGGGACCTGAACAGAGCTGTAGCCGGGCCACAACACACAGGGTGGGCTCAGGTCAGCTCGTGGCATTGGCAGCTTGGTGAGGCTTTCATATCTATCAGTTTGTTTATTTGTTTACCCTTTTGTAAGATGGGAATGGGTGGAACTGAGGTGTGGTGGAAGACTGGGTTTCTGTAGTTGAAGAAGAATGTAACAATGAGGTCCAGAAATGTGCTGGTTACCGAATCCCTGCCTCAGTGACTGTGGTAGTGGTTGTCATAATGTCAAGGTAACATTTGGAAGAGTGTAATGTACGTCTCAGTAGGGGAGGACTTCCTTGATTTCATTTCAACAGGTGCTTTTAGATATTAAGGACTTGAAAGCTATATTCCATCTAAACAAACAAGCAAAATATAAATATAGAAGTTACTTAATGTCTAGTGGTTCAGGCCAAATTAACTGAAACCTGAGCAGAAGCAAATATATAATATAGGTGATTTCTTTTGGCTTCCTACACGTTATTTGTATATTTTCAGGGACAAACAAATATCTTAGCAAGTGTGCTTGTTCCTTTGAGCTTATAACACTTTGATTTATTTATGCATAACTTGCTATTTTAAAATAATTCAGGTCTAAAACAGATGTATCAGTTGCTCAAGACCAACCTATATATATGACAGAAGTGGAACTGTAATTAGTTAGTCATTTCTTTAACTATTTTTTTCTAAAATCCCAGCTCACTATTGCCCAACCTTGTATTACGTACTATATGTAGATTTGCCTTCAAGACTTGAGTTATTATTGACTGACACTTGTGACAGCTTTCTTAGTAAAAATTCGTCAAGTTTGAGAACATTGGAAAAAAAAAACCCACCAAAAACTTACATAACTTTTGCTGTAATTTTTAGCATTTTCTTCTGCCTTTAATAGGGAATTCAGTATTTCTAAAACTAATGCACCTTTTGATGGATGCGCATGAATGAGAACATTTATGCTTGTTTTCTGTTTTTTGGTTGTCAGTTGATGTACTGTGCTCTGCCCTGCTGTTTTTTGCCATCACTGTAAATTCTGTAATTAGGTGATGAATGGTGGATGTGCATTCTACTAATAAATAATTTAGACACAATTACTTTTGGAATTCCACTGGAACAGAGGTGTTGGTAATTTCCAAGTAAATGAGTAGGTAGCAATCAGATGACTTATTTTTCATGTACGTAGCTTGTCAGTTTTTGTGAGTGTTTGCATTCCCTGACATTCTTACTGTCTAACTTTGAATTTCCAGGCAGCACCGTGTGTCTAGAACCATTTGACTGTACTCATGCGTATGAAACATAACCCTGTGGTGGTTTTGGTTGAATTTCAAAAGACAAAATATAGCACAGTAACAGTTTTATGAGTGATCTGAGATCACTTCACGTAGATGGAGTAAAGTTCTATGCATAATCTTTAACTGTCAGTTAGGTGAAACTGTGCGTTTTGAAGTACAAGAAAAACTGACAGTACTTAGAGCTACGTTTGTGTTTGTTTTTCCAGCTGTTGTAAAGTTAAAACAAACAAGCAAACAAAAAAGGCAACTGTTTTCATGGTAACTTCATATTAGTAAAAACACTATATAATATTGAAAACTATTCTCTTTATGTTCCCTTAACCTTTTGTTCTAGTATATGGAAGTGATATAAAATTATATTCTTAATAATCTTGCATTTCAGGGGAGAAATAAAACCTGGTCTAGTCAGTGCTCTCTAGATGACTTTATAAGTATGCCTGCTCTTCAGGAGATCTGGTTCACAGTAAATGTACTCCTAAAATTGAAAGCAAGCAAAAGTCCTAATGAGAAAAGAAGCTGTCTTTTCTATCTTAGCTAGCTAAGGAATGATATTTTTGATGCCTTTGGGCTCTCTCCTGATGAAGAAAGCCTTCGCTTCCCTGTCTGTCTTCCGTGGTGCTCCTGTGCCTAGGAGTGCTGGTTCTTTTTGGGATGGATTTCACAGCGTTGTATTTACACTGGTAAAAATGAGAGGCCGTAGTGTTCTCTGAGTTCTTCTGATACTTCCTTCGAGTGAGAATTTATTCACCTGGAAAAGATAAAGCAATTTTGGTAAGATTTGCAAGTATAAGTATAAAACTACTTGGAAGAAAACTCTTGAAGCCTGTTTTTCCTAACAATGGATAATATCTGTTAAATTTTGTTATTTGTTGGGTAACAAGAAATTGGGGGTTTCCTGCATATATTATTAACCTTATAGCCTGCAAATTCAGAAGCTGAATCGATATATACACACACACATATAGGTATATATGTGTATATATATGTGTATGCACACAGGCAAGGTTTGATACCATTTCAGAGGCCAGGTGCATCTATCTGTAAATTTTTAGTATTAGTGGAAGTCTTTTTCTTAGATCTACTGCTGCCTCTAAAACTATTCTTCATATTCTTATTTTCTAGACATAAAATTCAAATTCCATTACTCTCTGGAAATCTCAATATTTTCTGTTGACTCCCTCCCCCCAGATATGCGTGATAAAATGAGGAAATGGAGGGAAGAAAACTACCGAAACAGTGAACAGATAGTGGATGTGGGAGAAGAGTTAATTAATGAATATGCATCTAAGCTTGGAGATGACAGTAAGTACACGTTATTTTTAAAAATTCCATTGTTTTAGCTCTTATTGCATGGGTCTGGTTTTGTTTGTTTATATACCTAGCTGTTAATCTTCTTCAACAGCATGGCAAAGATTGAAAAGTGTCTCTTTATAAGAGAAAGCTATTCCTTGATTTAAGTCATACATTCTGCAGGAGTTAATACTAAGGCTGTTTTTTCTTATTGCATTACATTTGTGGTACTGTATTTGAAGGTAAGTTTAGGTTTCTGCTATCCATAAAGTTATTATTTTCAGGGGATTTTAACTACGTTATACTAAGTCTCAGTAGACAGAAACTCGGCATATAACGTTTCATATGAGAAGAGAATTGTTTAGAAACATGTCACAAGAACACAGTAGCACACTTCTCTGTAAGCATGAAATATGAAGTATAACAAAATCCAATGTCAAGAGTGTAATTGTAAGTTTGCATATTAATTTCACACAGGCAGATTTTTATCTTAATGCTCATTCCTCTTTCTTCATGTTTCCTTTTTTAATAGCTCGGATAACTTAATACAGGCCATATATTTTTCTTGTAATTCTTTCATTTTCATTAACAGTGATTACATAGTCACTAGATTAACAGCTACAGTAATGCAATTGTATTTACTAACGTAAGTTAAGGTATTCTGTGTGACTGTTCAGCTTTGGTAAGTTAATTTGAATTCAAATACTTAACTTCATACAGTGTTCCAGGAATTAAAGTCCACATACTTATTGCAGAAGTATACTTTGCTTTGTTTTCTGATCAGATGAGGAATCTTGAATTTTGTGCTCTGTAGATATGGTTCCCTTTATAGTGATACTTTGTTGTAGTTCTGTCTTGCATCTTCTGTACTGTAAGTCTGTTTTGGAGTTCTTCCAGTGCTAGGAAACTTGTGACATTGGTCACTGCAAATATTGTTGTTTGGAGATATAAATATGTTGACAATGTACCCGACTGACATTGTGTCATAGACACTTTTGTGCATAGCAGTGAGTCATGAGGTAGGTACGGAGATGCAGTTCGTAATGTAAGGCCCCCATGCGGAATATCAATACACTTTTAAGTGTAACAAATGTACTTTTTTGGATTGTCTGGTTGGGTTTAAGATAAAAGAACTATCATCGTTTTCCCCTGGCTTTAGAAAAGTACTGAAAGCTAACTTTGATTTTAATTTATTATTACAATGTTGTTAGGAATTTATGAGAATTATATTTTAGTACAGAATGCTCTAGGAGCTTCATGTTTCTCTCGGATCTTGCCAGTGCCCTTCTAAAATAGTGTCCTCAATAACTCCACTTGAGTCGGTCCTTTTCATTCCCTTCTTGTCAGTGTTATCTCTGTCCTTCTTTTCAAAATATATTTATCATACTCTTTCATGAACTTGACGTTGAGGATTTAGTAGATAAATTAGCTGCAGTGTTCGTAAGCTGCTTACGAAATGCATGAAAGTATCTGAAATTTGTTTGAATATTTGTGTTCTGTTTAATTTTTGAAAAAGAAGTACCAGGAATGGAAACAGTATACCATTTAAGAAAAGGTACAGTGTACCTAGAGTTCTTGGGTAGCCATGAAAGGTAAATGGATCATCATATATGGTGGGTGTTAGTCTTGTTGCTTAATGTGCTTTCAGAAAATATCCCGATGTTGTAATGATTAATTGCAGAATGCATATAGAAGGGAAATTAATGAATGGAATAGGGTGGATTATTTGGGTATCTCTGTAACTTGCCTTGTAGATATATGTGTGTTATCTGTATTTTGTATCTGATGCATGTATTTTTACAATCATGGAAAAAATTGTATAAATTATATTACAAAAATAGCGCATCTCTTACAAATAGTTCAGTGGGGAAAAAAGCTTACAGGCAAATTAATACATGTGTCCATTCTTTTAGATATTTAGAAAGAAAGAATATTCTTTTTTTAAAAATAGTGGAAACTCATATGATAGAATGTATATTTAAAAAAAAAAAAAAAGTCAGGAGAGCCTTTATTTGCTCTGTTTTGAAAGGTACTTGCTTCTGGTTTTTCTGTGATGTATTGACTGCCCCTGATTTGATTTACAGGAGTTGAGAATGCTTGATACTTGCAATACTCACCTTATATACTTTTCTTCTATCATAACCCATCTTTTCTGTGGCCTCTGTAGCTATTCTTTTGAGTTCCTTACATTCAAGAACTCAGTAGAGCTGAGACAGGAAAAACATAATCTGTCATTGATTTGGAGAAATTGTCCAACTCCAGGAAGAAAACAACATTTGTAGGAGTTTTGGCAGTGAAACGGTTAAGGAAATTTGTTTTATTTCTAGCTCAAATGGCTGTTCTCCAGGTCTGATCAGAGAGCACGTCCTAATGGGGATCTGCTTAGAAAATTGTAGATATAATGATAGGAAAAGCAGAGAATTAGAGCTTTTTGCCTTTCAGGATGTCAAAAGGTACTTTATGTTACTAAAAGCAATAAAACTACTTAAATGTATTTTTAATTAATTCCATCAGTTTGTTTAAAATGTCCGTTTTTCAGTAACGATCCACAGGAATGGAAGGGGAAAAATATACAGAGACAGAATTCATTAATCTTATTTACATGTTAGGTGTTTCCCATTATCTTAAAAAATCAATTATCTACATTTAATGTCTCTTTTGTGTCCAGTTTGGATAATATACGAACAGGTGATGATTGCTGCCCTGGACTGCAGTCGAGATGATTTGGCGTTGGTAAGTTTTCAAGTTGACTTTTCCCTCAGACTTTTAAGTTTTCTTCCTTGGAATCTCTTCCAGATAGTTATAAGATATTCTGAACTCCATATCTTGGACTTTGAGAATATCGAGAAATATACTGCTGAGAAGAAACCACCTCCACCCACCTTCTCTAATATGTAACTTCTGTTTAGACAGATCATGTCTCTTCCAATAGCCGTGAAAATATTTACAGCTACTCTGGTATGGGCTAAATGTCAAGAATAATACTAAAGTTGCCATATTGTACAGAGAATGTTTGTTTATTGAAAACCTCTCAAATTATATTGGGTTTTTTTTGAATGTTTTGTGGTAAAATGTCATGTCATACATACCATATTATTTGTCACATTGGCTGTTATCGCTGACAAGGAATCAGACAGTTAGATGCATGTGTAGTACATCAGAAAGGCTGATATATGCAATTCCATTTGCTACAGCCTTAGAAATGAGTGATAATGGAAAAAGCGTGGTTGTACCCATTTTTGCTCTTACTAAAATGTCAAGACTGCATTGAGAACTTAAAATTGCTTTGGTTTTTGTTAGATACCTGGGTTTATTTTTTCACTTAGTTCCCCCTCCTCACCTGAAGAGGAAGTACCACAGCCATTTCTAACGTTTTGTCTGTTTAAATTGTGAGCCCAAAAAAGGGCCTGAAGATGTTAAAAGCTATGAAATTATTTTTCTTTTGGCCTTTAAATCAAGTCTGATTCCTAAAGGCAGAAACATCTTGCTGTTAACTGTTTTTACAATAGTACTTTTCAAGTGTGGGAACTGATTGTCAAGGGAATAACTGCAGAGTACTTGGTGCTGTTCTCTGTGAACAGATCAATGCTTAAGGTGGATCCAATCCAATGGAATTAAAGTAGGGAATGATTTTCTTGTCAGACATATCTGGTTAGGTAAACAGAGCATTTCTTACATTTGAGGTTTCTCTCTCACAAGTTAGTCTGAAAAGTTCCCTTTGAAAGCTTTTGCTGTTACTTGTTAGGTAAAGGATATCAAATAAATGCTTGAGTTTTAACTGATGATTTCTCAACCTTACTGTATCATTAGTGAGCTTATTTTCTGTTGTGTTTGAAGGGAGAGCGTTTATTAGCAACAACGTAGTCATCTGGTTGAGGGAAGTGGTAATTCCTTTCTATTTGGCCCTGGAGTACTGTGCACCAGTTTTGGGCTCCTCAACACAAGAAAGTCATTGATGTATTGGAGCAAGTCCAGGGGACGACCACTGAGATGATTAAGGAGCTAGAGTGCATAATATATCAGGAAAGGCTGAGAGATCTGTCTTTGTTAAGTCTCGAGATGGCTAAGGGGGAATCTTCTTGCTGTCTTCAAATGCATACTAATGGGAAGGTACGAAGAACACGGAGCCAAAGACGAGAGAGAGCAACGTGCACAGGCTGCGTAAATGGAAATTCCAACTAGGTACTGGGAAAAAATTGTTAGCGGTAAGGATGGTGAACCCTTTGGAACAAGTTTTCCGGAGAGACTGTGGAATCTCCATCCTTGGAGGGAATCAGGACTTGACTGGCATATGGCTTCCTGTTCTGACTTTGAAGTTGGCTCCGTTTTGAGTGGGATTGGACCCAGGTGACCTCCAAAAGTCCCTGCCAACCTAAATTATTCTTTGATGCTTAATGTAAATATTGCTTATGGATATTCAGGTTTAGGCAATTTGCATTTAGATTTATTTGTATATACACAAATAACAACTTAGATTAAAATTGTTAATCAGCTGATTTAGAACTGTAACATCGTTTCACTAGATTAAAACTGTAAAACACAAACTTGGCTGCTCCTTTGCATGCAGGAACTGAAAAGGGCAAAAGACTGTTTTGCACCCAGATTTTAATGAGCCTTTCATCTGTCCTTCACAAAAGGCTGGGAAAATAAATGGGATTGGTTTGTGCCCTGCAAGCCAACAAGCGTGGGCTTATTCCAAATAAATAAGACGCTTTATGGAGTTCAAGTCATTTGTGAGAATTACTCTTCCAGTGTTTTATTCTCCCACAGATGGCAAGACATCACGTAAAGTCTTTGAGACTCATGTTGTTTGGGTGAGATTCAACAGCCCGTGATTTACAAGAGGTCACACTAGAAGATGTAGCTGGGAGAAGGGCAATTTGAAAGCAGACAGAACTAGAAAGTTCTCAAATCTTTATCTCAGATTCTGTTTGTGTATGGTAAAATGGAGTGCCCTGAAAAAATGCAGCCCTAAATACTGAACTTGTTGTGAACCCAGTGAGCTTCCCTTTCTTAGATAATTCTTAACGTTCCTCAAAAGAAAGTACTGTTTTAGAATAGCTGTCTGTTTAAATAAAAACAAATAGACTTACTGTTTAAATATATTTCTGTGTTCTGATTTATATCTAAAAAATTTTTGATTTGAGGGTCTTTTTCATGAAGACTCATGAAGCCGTTGAGGGAGCCAATGTTGAAAGATCAGTTGTGAAACACTATTTGTTTTTACTAACCCTGGCAGGGATTTTGAATTTGAGTTTCTGTGCCCTCTAAGGGATATTGCTTGAGATGAGAGAGTGCAACATTTTATGCATCTCAGAAAGTGGGTTAAAAGCCTAGAGGGAAACTTAGATTTTTTTTTTGGTTTTTAATTTGATTGATTTATAATAAAGAAATAGTTAATTCAAACAAGTCAACATCGTATGTGGCTTTCTGCTACAGCTGTAGCCCTGAAGTAGACCAGCTTTGGAACTTCTGTTTTTTAGCAGTGTGCTTTTGACAGCTGTGATGCATTTTGCTTAGGGGAATGGGTCTCATCTGCTCCAAATGAGGAGACTGAGATGCTTTTCAGAGTCATTCATCTGGCATTTCTTTTTTCTTTTTTTCTTTTTAGTTTTTCTTACTGCTATCCTCTTTGTCTTGCACAGAATGATTATGCCTAATGCATGCAACCACTGCAATTAGCCAGTTCTGTCTTTCACACATGTTTTAGTGAAATCACCTGTTGCTGGCAGCCACCTGCACTATCAGTGTCTTGCATGCTGAAATTCAAGTTTATGCTTCTTTGTCGTTGCAGAGTTCAAGTCAGACTTTTAAAGTTAGAAAGTTGCTGGTTAAAGAAGTCAGAAAGCAAGTTAACAATCCTTAAAGTTGTACATATAAATCAGACTTGCCGTTATAATTCCTGGGTTTCTGAGAGAATCTCAAAAGTAGATTATTGACATAGTGCTGACCCAGTCCTCTTTGTAGGAACTGATGGCACTTCTTAGTAACAAGTGCAGCATTTCAAAAATAAATAATAGCTTAAACAGTTATAGGAATCACAAATTTAAAAAAAAAAAAAAAAAAGAGAGATGACATTCAGTGCTACTGAGTCCAGAACACTTTGAAGATATGCCTAATGTATTTTATCTCCGCAGAGGGCTTCTTTTGTTTTCGAAAGTGTTGCAGTGGATTGTTTCTGACTGTCTTACACCTTTTCCTGTCACTTAATTATGCCTGATGTCTTAACCTCTTGGAGTTTGTTTTGGCCTCGTGGTTGCTCTTTTCACTTGAATTATGGTCATGTAGTCGGATCTGTCCGCGAACGTTTCTGGTCTCGCACGCTTCTGGTACCCCCGCGCTCAAGTGCTACCTCATCATCTTTTTCCTGTAAGGTCGATGGGGTTTCTCTGGATGCAGCAGTCTATCTGCAGATTGTGGGGTTTCATCTCTGTATTACAAAATTTGAAGCATACTTTTATTCTGAAAATTATTATCCTTCAGGATAGCCAGAGTATTGGACCGCATGGTGGATTTATGATCTGCAAAAGTTCTTTTTTAAAAAATAGAGGGTAGTGTTTGTATTATGAAACCTGCCAGAGTGAAACTACTTCCCTGGAGTTTTACGTCCATTTCCCTGTCTCTTAAAAATGTTCACAGGTTACTGCAGATTATGTAACGTGCTGCTTGGTACATGTAGTTTTCTGTAACAATTTGTAGTTCGGGGCAGGAGCATTTGACCTGGCCATCACTCAAAAGTGCCAGTAAACAGTTTCTGTGTTAAGTCTGGGTCTTTTGTTACATGAAATTGCATTGCTGAGATCTTGGTTGTGTTGGGTACTAGCAGGATCATGATGAAAATAACCTGTGCTTACCTGAGGCTAAACATTACTTCACTGATTACTGTCTCCTTCCTCTCTCTCCTATCTGTATTCTTTTGTATCTGAGAGAGAGATGAGTGCTTCTCTTTGCTCTGCTCTTGCAACCTATTTCGGCTGCAGAAATAGAGAGGGAACTTGGTAATTTTTACCAGTTTGCTTATCTGTCCATATTTTTCCTGTGAACAGTGGATGTGAGGAGATGGAACAGATTATGTAGTTAAGCCTCCACTAGACCCTTAGATCTGTAGAACAGGTTTAAGTTGAGTTGTATAAATAAATGCCTTGAAAAGGAGGGTTTTGTATGAAGCTTTTAAGATTATTTATACCGCTGCTCTTTTGGAGAGCCTGGGGCTCATCCTGCCTCCCACCACAATGTAATGGGTCAGCTACAAATGTTGCACCGCTATCTAGCCACACTCATGGTACGGTTAGAGTTTGGTTGCTTTGGGGAAGTTCTGACTCGGTCCCTCTACCAAACATCCTTTTCCCCTAATCCAGAGAAATCTGCCTGTGATGAATTTGTTTTATCCAGCCCAGGTGTCTCATTGATTTCAGGAGTCAGACATTTCGCCTCCTCTGCCAGCCGGCTCAGTTTAAGCCAGTGACAAACATTTTCTTTGGATTTCAAAGTTTTATTTTAAAAATAAACACAGTGCGTAGTATTAGCATAGTTTCTTCCATTGTAACAGATCCATTTATTAAAGAAGTATCATGTAAGCTCTTACTGTCTTTATTTTGGGTTTTGTATTGTTACGAGGCAACTAAGTAGACTTCATGTTTTAATAGTATCAGTAGATGAGTTTAGTTTTCTAGATAAATAACTATTTCCAAGAAGCCCTGACAATCTAGCAACTTCTACGGAAAATATTTCTTAGAATTAGTCTTCTAAGGCTAGGAGGTTTCAGTTTCTGAACTTATATTTATTAATGCATTTTATTACTTATTTCAAAAATTGATATTTGTTTTCATGTTGTTGAAAAAAGTCAAGTTTTCTTTTTTTCCCCTCAGCTTCTGTGTGGGTAATTATATTCACAATAATATTTTTGGTTTTGTTTATTTGTATAGTTTTGTCTTCAAGAACTAAGGCGACAGTTTCCTGGGAGCCACAGGGTTAAGAGATTAACTGGAATGAGATTTGAAGCTATGGAAAGGTAAAACCTGAACTTAAGAAAATGTAATTCCTATCTGGAAAAAGGTTCTTGCTATTTATTGAAAAGGAATTCAGGCATAATAAAAGCAGAGCAAAACAATGCTGTGCAGTTTTCTTGTAGAACGCAACTGTGTGCATGATAATTTTATAATGCTTAGATGTTTTTATTACATTTTCGCTTGCACTATACAGCGTTACGTTTTTCCAGTCTTCCCATCAGACTTCACAGATTAAAAGGATCTGTTACTTGCCAGCATAAGTCAGTATACAGTAAAACACTAGGCTCTTTTTTGGCAAAGTCTGTAAGCTGTACATTTAATCTCACAGAGCTAGAGCAACATTTGAAAATCACTGACAGCCTTTTCATTCTCGTTGTTCTCCTGTGCTCCTAAACAGCAGAGAACATCTTTTCCCACATTTTCTGAGTGTTGTGGGTCCAGTAGGATTTAATAAGGTTTAAATCTGTAGGATTGTTTATAGAAATTACTTAAAAGCCTTATAGAAATTACTTAAAACAGAATAGCAGAACCTAAAAGGCAGACTAACCTTTCTGAAATAACCTATAGAAGAGTTATAACTTACTAAATTTAGGAGGAATTATTAAAATAATGAACAGCTCAGGACTTTATGGCTTTTTGAGAGGAATGACCTCAGGGCTTGAGGCTGACCTCCATTGTTTGACTTTCTTCTTTGGATATATCCTTTTATCAACATTCCTTTCTAATGCACTTATGGCAGAGGGCAGTTACAACTTTGCAAAGGACTCTTAGTTTCTGGTGACTTTGAATGCTAGCAAATGTGTTCTGTGCCACACTTCTAATCGTTGAGATTTGGAGCTTTTGGGCTGTTTTGGCAGGAAGGGACTGGAATTTAGAAGTAAACCCATAAATGCTTTTTTCGATTTAGCAGATATTTTTCATCCATTTCCTTGAAAAATGAACTCTAAAAGTATAATGTGATATCAGCCACCAAGGAAGGTCCATTGTTTGGATTAAAATAACTGGACTCCACTACCACCAGACCAGTCTGAGGGCAACTAAAATTTTGATATTTTGTACTCACTCTGTATAAAATACATGGATCATGAGGGATCATGAACACAGCATTTTGCAGCACTTCCGCTTAAGTTGTCTGTAGCGGTCACCGTCTGCTCATTTCTGCGTTTGTGCTTCGTTTCATGTTTGTTTTTATATCTTACGGTGATCTGGACTGGTCAGCCGAGTTTCACAAATCGCGGTGCAGCTTAGGGAACGGTCTTAGTACGTAAATGAGTGTCCAAGGTGAGAAGGGGATGGGTAGCGACAAGTTTGGTCAGCAGTACTTCTGGGAAATTACTTGTCAGACCATAAACTGAAGGACAAAGTATGCCCTAGCTATATGGTGACAGCGCAATAACTGTATAATCAAATGTGATTGAACGGAATTGTTTTATTTATCTAGTCTGGGTTCTTCATGTGGCTGGCTGATTGCACAAATCTGTTCCCAGAAGATTTAAAGCATTTGTAGCAGCTGTAGTAACCTATTTCTAGCATACTTCAAGTAGCAGAATTAATTAATTCATAACACCTATGTACTGATAATGGAAAAGGTTTTCTTTCATGCTTTATGGTAGTGTTGGAGTTGGACTCTTTTGTATGCACCCCCTTAGTTTATTATACTCTGCTGCTTATACTTTATGAAGTCATAACAGAAGTAACTTACCTGAAAAAAGTGAAAAGTCTGTTATTCTGGATATCCTTTCAAGTTTTTGGATTTCTGTTCCTTTGTGAAGAGGAGAATTGGGAAGTGGTGGTTGTAGCTATTAGGTAAAGAAAAAGAGAGACCGGGCAAAGGAGTAAAACACGTTAGGTGCAAAATGTGTAAGTTGTTGCTGAAATAGTATTCCATGAAGGAATTGCAATGTATTTTTTTTAACTTTGTGGCATAAAATACTGCACTTCATATTCAGCACTCACTTAAATGAACTTTTGCATAAATATAGCTCTCACAATATTCAATACGAAAAGTGCAGCAATGTTATTAACTGGAATAATTAGAAGGATAGTTGGAAAGTGAGGAGTTCTGTCTTAGCAGAAATAAACGTGCCTAACTTCTTTGAACAGGTATGATGATGCTATCCAGTTATACGACAGAATTTTACAAGAAGATTCAACCAACACAGTAAGTTTAAAAGATTTTTCTGAACTACAATGTGACATTGTTTGAAAATTTGCTAACATTTTGTGGGTTTCACTGTGGAAAAACGTTTTGGCGGAATGATTATTGAATTTATGTCCTTTAATTTCCCATTATAATAAACTTGTACGTTACTTTCCTCAGAGCAAATGAGATTCTTCTCATAAAGAGAAGGTGTGATTTAACGTTTGCTTAAACACTGAATTTAGAAAACGTATTATTGTAACTAGGAACCTTTCCAGTGATCACGATAGGGTTTGAATTGGGCCTTTCAGCTTTTCCATTTCCTCTGAAAATTTAGTATTAAAGGATCAGTGTAGTCTGCTATGTATCGTCTGTCTTCCTAATGCTTAATCTTGCAAGTGTGATTACACTCAGGTAGCACTTGAATTGTGTAGTTATTTTGATTTATTATTTGGGATACTTTATTAGCTTTTGACTCAAAATGCTGTAAAGCTTGCCAGCATTACAAAGCAAAACCTGAGAGACTATACTTTTTAGGAATTTCTTAAATACTGGTTATGTAAGACTCCTTGAGATATTAGATGCCAAAATGAAAGTCTAAAAAAACTTGTAGCAATGTAGTCATACCTTTTTTTTTTTTCCTTTTTTTAGTAAAGGTAAAGCTAGAAACATGAAGAAACCGTGGTGTTTCATAATTGCACATTGCACATAATGAATTTCAATTAAGATTTATTATTGATCATTGCCCTTTTGAGAGTATATGTTCTCTGCCTTGATTTTAAAGAACTGGGTCTCTTTATTGGGTAATCATCTATGCTAATATACTTTGGCTATTCTAGATGTTTTGACAGTCTCATGTAAACCTTCATCAGCTCATGTTGAACTGCTACCTTTCTGCAGTCTTAACTTGGTGTGATCTGCGCTGTTCAGGAAAGAATAACCTATAGAAACTCAGATAACAGGGCAAGGTATGCCAGAACTGGCTATAGATAAAATGCCGTCACTTAAGTAAACTATAAAAAAGAAAAGACGGGAAATTATTTTTAAGGGAACACACTTTAAAAACGTTAATGCCAAGTTAAGTGCTCCGACAACAGTGTCAGATTGAAGTCTGTGTCTTTTTGCAGTGATTTAACTGAACAAATGTTTGTGCAAAGGTAAAAAAAACTCTTTAAATTCTTCAGTATTTTTTGTTCACTCTCCCTAAAGTTGTACGTCTCTATCTGTGTTACGCAAGGCAAATGTAAGTGGTTTGTGGTTGTCCTTTGGAAGTCTATAGTATTTCTGAGTAGGAGCTTGACTACAAGGTGCATCGTTGTCTGCAGTAAATTTTGACCGATTTTAGCCATTTTTTATGGCCCAAAGAGTTTGGGAGACACTGTCTTCAAAGTCACGCTAAAACAAGATGGAAGCCATCAACAGTGCAGACACAAGAATAGGTCACCTAGGTGCACGTTTTATGACCTTCTGCTGAAGCCAGTGGAAAATGGAGCACCATATTGCTATGACTTCTGTAGACCACAGATCTTTGAAGTGTGCATTTTTGGCAGTTTTACTCTTCAGCTGTCTCAACATGGCTAACGTCATCTGAGTAAGTGGTTTGTTGGATAGTTTTATAAAACAAAATGATGTATTTAAATAAGTAACGTGCATGGCAATTACCTAATTTGGGTTTCCTCCATTAGAAAATCGTAAAGATACAGAAAATGTTAATACTTAGAAGCATAGGACGTGAATATTAGAACAGCTGCAGGACCTATTGGGTTTCTTTAAATCTGAGAACAGAAGTGAAGAGACTATTAAATACAGAGCAAAAGTTCTTTGTTATATAAGTGTAGAATAGGTTGGCTCAATCTTGCACGTGAAGAGTGAAAGTTAAATAGAAAGTTTTGATAAATTGTCCTATGTTAGAGTTCTTTGTGTCTTTTACCTGTTAATTATTTCCATGCACACATGTGGCTGCTGTAGGAAAATAAATATTTCAAGATTTCTAAAAAGAAACCATTGCTGAGTTTGTCTTGGCACTCACCTTACCTTACAGCAATTTCTTCTGATGTGCTGACACATGGAGTTGCTTATATATATTAAACGTTTTGGCAAGTACTGTAAGTGGAACATAGACATTGTTCACACGAGTCATGTAAAAATCATACTTTGCATCGGCTGACAGTTTCCAATAGAGAGAAGCATGGGAAAAGTTTTGTTTTGTTTTTAAAAATCATTTATTTTTAAGATGCAGCAGATTTTTACTTTATGGAAAGTAAACTTTGAACTCAAACTATGTAATGGACGTTCACACTTTTTTACGAGGGTTTTTTGCATGCAAATTCTGAAATTAAGATTATGATTGTCTTATTTCATTTCTTAGGATAGAATTTGAAGTAGTCTGTTACAAAAAGATGATCATCTCAGTGTCTTATCTCACTTTAAGCTTCCTTGCTGAAAAAGATGACTCATTTAACAGTGGAGCAATGTTGTCGCTTGAGAGATCCTGTTTCATTGTTTAGAGCATGTAGGCCTTGAGTAAGACTCTGCCCCTTCCCTAGATAGGTTACCATTAATGAATGAAATCTGACTCCTATGAAAAGCACAGCTTGTGTGGATTTTAATAGGATAAGAATGGGAACCTTTTTCTTTCTTGACCATTTTGATTGAAATGCGGGAGTACTAGAGCTGTAGCTGCCAGATTATTCTGTAATTAAGCCTGCATAACATTTTTCCATTGTAGGACCTTTTTCATTAATTAAAATTTAATATAGTATCTGATTGGGAAATCTTTATGCTGATGCTAGACAGTAGCTGAGTTGTTTGCAGGTCTTCAGATAAAGTGTCTGTTTCTGAGAAGAAAATAAGGAGGACATTGTTTTTTAGCATGTTTGGAAGAGGGTTTTTTTTGTTTTGTGGTGATGGTGATGTTAACGTGTCTCGTTGAGAAACCCTTACGCTCCTTTGCTTTAGAGCAAAGCTTTGGATACCAATGGGAAAAGAACTCTTGCTAGAATGTAGCTTTTGTTATGGTATGAGAAAAACACCCAAACTCGCTAAGTTACAGACATTTGAAAATCTTCCATTTCGTGTGCTCACTAGAGACTGCTGGTATTTTTATTAAATACATCTTCTTAAATTCCATTTGTACTGAGCGAGATTGATCCCAGGCTAGAGAGTCTAAGCAGGACTTCCCTGTGGTTGTTCCTCATGGCTGTAGTGCTATGGAAAGGGGCAGAAAGTAGGGAGACTCCTTTCTTTTCTGAATTGCACCTAAGCAGTGAAGAGGAGAAGGAAAAACCATCCAGAAGGAACTGAATACAGGAAGGGAGCAGAATTGTGAGGACTAAAGAGGAAGGGAGAGGTAATGGAAGCTTAGCTGGTTAGTTAAAGGTAGAAATCAGGTCGCATGTAGGGGAACAGATGGCTTGGAGGGTGGGTAGGAGATCAGAACAGAGGGGTATGTATTAACACTTAAGTCTCGGGCTTTTGTTTAAAAAAAAAAAAACACGTTTTGCCTTGAGGCACTGTATTTTCTGCTGTCAATAAATAGCTTTAAGACCTACTGGTGAAATGTGTCTCTTATTCCCTCTAGTACCTGATGTGTATTAGTTCTGTCAGTAACTGTTTTAGCTCTAATAGTGAAGGCATATACCATTTGGATGTTGCAAGTAACCAAGTTGCAAGTTATGGTTCTGCAAAATTGAATTTCTTTTCTTTTATTAAAGCAAATGCAGGCACACTTTGTGCCTTTTGAAGACAAGGCTGAATGGTCAAATATGCTACTTAAAAAATGCCAGAATGTGTGCAACCTTAAATTGATCAGCAGTCTTTTGGAGTGAGTTTAGTTATTTAGCTGTATCCATTGTAAATTAAGATAATGCAAAGGCCAGAATTTGTATAATGTTATAATATGAAATATAATGCCAGATTCAAACTCTAAGCGTTTTTAAATTGTAAGCTGATCTTCTATGAGTAATACTTCATAATGCCTTCAGAGTCTTTATTAGTGGGTTGGATACTACATTAGTATTTGTGTTTTGGGTGAATTTCTTGTGCAAGATTTAATAGCAAGGTTACTTGGAACTGATTTATTCATATTCTCTATTTGATACTCTAAGCCCTTATTTCTGGGGATGGGGCTTTTTACTGCTTGAATTTGTAAGATCCAAGAATGACTCTTAAATTTTTTTTTCTTCTCTCTCTCTCACTTGTCGTAACACCTATGTGAGATGAAACAGTACTGACATTTTACATATGAAGAGCAGATATGCAGAGAAATTAAAGCCGAGATCTCTCAAGTTATTTAGGACTCTTAAGTAGGTAGTTAGCTCTCTCATTTTGCCATTGATTTCAATTCTGTGATGAGTATCAAATGAGTAATTTTAAACTATCTGTATGTTTCCCTGTCTGATTAGGTTGATTGCCTTTATACTGACAGAGATTTCTGTTTTGGGGAAGCAATTCGAATGAACGCCATCTATTTTAATTAGATATCTAAATATTTTTGTGAATTGGGCCCTGATTGAGATGACTTGTCCAGGAGTGCAAAGAAAATGGATGATGAGAAAGGAAATTGGGTTCAGCTGTCCAAGGCTTAGGTTGGTGTCTAAACCAATGCACTGTCGTCCTAGTCTGGGTACAGTTTCCCCTTATTCTTTAACTGAACTGTCAAGAAGACTGCCGGAGCACAGAGTCAGAAGCAGGGGGAAAATGAGATAAGACACACAGTTCTGCCTTAATTGTAATCCATGGAAAATGTGTTGTCTTTATTGGGATAATAATTCTACTGTTTCTCTTACCCCTTTTTCAGCTAAGCTTCTAATTCAAGAAGACATTGTATGCGCTTGGTTGGCTTAGGGCATATGGATAATCCCATTAACTTCATGGGTCTAGTAATATAATTGCGGCTCACTGAATGAAGAATTTAAAATAAAACTTTAAACCCAAGACGGTAATAGAAGCCATTATCTTTCAGAGTCCTTCAAATATTAAAATGCTCTTCACTAGTAACTTCGTGAGAATGAACAGGAAAA